TTTTAAGTAATCAACTATGTACTCTTTTGAAAATGTAAAAAACATTGTCAACACATATGAAATTTTATTAACTATGTAATGTAAATTTTATTAATCACTTACACTGATTTGGGGAAACTGACCATATCTCTCATCATTAGGATCATCAACTTTGATGTTGTCAATGATTACAAACTCTGGGTGTTGTAGATTGATCACAAAAAGGAAAATGTGGAAGGAATGGATGATTGGTAGGAAAAGCTGCAACGTTTATTCATTTACATGTATTCACTTTATTTAATATTCATATTTGATCAATGATAAATAAACACATAAGTAAATTGTTTAGATATATCTCTTACCAAATACATTACTTGAATCTGAGCTCAAAACTACAACTTTAAGATCCCTTCGCATTGAATTATCTGGTGTGCGATTAATACGTTCCCCCATACCTGTCCAAAAAATAAGGCACATAATCACTATAGATTCCAATTGATATTTAATATTTTAAATTTCATTTAATCATCATCACCACCAGTTTGTTTTTTAGTTTTCTTCTTAGGTGTTGAACACTTCTTTTGTCCTTCTCTTCTAATCCGAGGTTGTACTATTTTCGTTTCCTTGATTGTCGTCATCTTCAATATCAATAAGCAATGGATTTGATTCTTCATTAGTGAATTTGCTGAATCACGTCTTTAGTAATATCCTCTCGCTTTTCTTTCTACCTAATAGTAGAATTAAAATACCTTACTCATTTATAACTCAGAATTGAATCATTAACAACCCAAATAATCATAAATTATCCTTACTAAACAAAAACTCAATTAAACATATACCCAAGAACAGAGTAATGTTTACAATAATCACCACTTAACAAACAGTTTAATTAACTTACTCATAAAAACCAGTAGGGACTCCTATACCATTATTCTTTACTTAGTACATCATGTACAGGATCAAAACCACATACATACTCAATAAAGTACCCATTCACAACCGAATATGCCTTTAACAATCTACACAATACACAACCAACAACAAGGATTAATACTAGAAAAGTATTTATGTAGCACAAACAATCAAATTTTACAAATAATCAATGGTAATGACATTTATACCCTTCCTTATTATTTTTCTATTAAACACCATTCACAATCGAATACTAACATCAATTACTCCTCTTGTCCTACTAATAATCTACTTACTTTGCCATTCAACAATACGACTCTGAAAACAAAAGCAAAAAAAAAACCCTAATTTTTGGGTTTTCGTAACCTTACTTTAGTTCAAAGTAGTCGACTACAACTACACATGTATCTGCATCTTAAAACTTTCAATCACAATCATTAACGATTAATTTTTAAATACATTCAATATCAGACTACCGTAACTTCGAAACTCATCTACAATTACCATTTTCATTTAAACATTCACATACACCAACGTTTTATTTGTAAAATACAATCTTTAAATCAACAATCATCAACGATTTAGAGTAACTATAGTTCATAATCGATGATATAAAGAAAAAAACGGATTCTAGGGTTTTAAGAATCGTTAAAATGTACACTTTAACAAAAAAAAATAATAAACCCAATACTACACCCGTTTTCCACTCAATCGACATTCAAAAAAGATTAGAAAGCTTACTTCTTCCACTTCGGTTGATGATCGACGACATTCCTCCACCTTCAACCCTTCACGGAGTTCTGAATGCACAAATCTCTTTACGAATGAATAGTAGTTATCCAGTGTCGTATAAATGTTTAGCTGTGATGATATTTTGCATTGCAGAAAACGATCGAATCCTCCAAAAGATTAGAAGTTAGTTGTGATTACTAAAACATAGGAACGGTTTCTTTTAATTGTCAAACTTATCTGATATATTCAAAATGAATGACATCATAAAATTACTTGAATACCTTTTTATATATTTTTTTTAATTAAAAAACAATTTAAATTCATTTAATATTATGTTTAAATTAATGATTAATGTGTAACATCCCGAAATATCAAGAGTAGAGTTGAAGGGCTAAAAGAGTAAATTGGGAAAGAGTGACTCGGCGAGTCCATGTGCGGACTCGGCGAGTAGGGTCGCGACCTGGTCGCGTGTTAAGTGGCCGACTCGGCGAGTCAGTGTAATGGACTTGGCGAGTAGGCGCTGAGTGGAGAAAACCCTAATTCTCGGGGTTGAGCCTTATATAAAGATCAATATGTTTTCCTCCCAGCCTCTTTATCACCCCTTGAGACCCAGAAAACCCTAAATCACGGAGAAGCACCATTGTTGAGTGGATTGGAGCTTGGAGAAGTAATGGTTGAAGGAATTTTGGGAAGAATGAAGGCTTGGAGTAAGGGGATTTGCTTGGATTCGAATTTCATTGCAGTTGGGGCATCACTTAGAGGTAATATCTCGTTATTGACCTGTTGTTATGTTGTTTCTTCATTTTGGGGTTTGTGAGAAATTGTCTATGGATGAAATGGGAAGTCTAGAGGTTAGATCTGAGGTTGCTACCTCAGATCTGGAAGGGAGAAGAATCAGAGAGCATGAAAGTCCCTGTGTTGGAGTGTTTAGTGAAGCTTACATGTCCCAAACCCTAGCCCCAATGTGCAAACGGCTTAGATCTCTTTGGATTCACGTAAAGTTTGCCACTTTACGTGATGGATGGGTTGTAGGAGGCTAGATCTATGTTTTGGATCAATTGCATGGCCTGGAGTGCTTCTGAATGGATTCAGAACGGTGGTACTCGGCGAGTCACATGGGTCGACTCGACGAGTTGCTTGAAGATGGCCTGGAACTCGACGAGTTGGAAGAACAACTCGGCGAGTAGGTTGAAGATAGCCTTGGACTCGACGAGTCCATTTGGACTCGGCGAGTCTTGTCGAAGAGTCCCAAATATTCTCTGGTTGAGTCGAGAATCGGTGAGTCGAGGGATGACTCGGTGAGTCGTGTGCGAGTGGACTCAGAGTTGTTGGACTCGGCGAGTCTCGGGGTGACTCGGCGAGTTAGGTCGCAGATTGAGTGAAGTTCTGATTATGGGAACTCGACGAGTCACAGGGTTGACTCGGCGAGTAGGGTCAGTCAGGGGTTGACTTAGACTGAGGACTTTGATTTCGACCAAGGGTTGGCCGTTGACTTTTAGGGTTTGGTCAGCGATGTGGCCTTTGGGCCAAGAGAAAGGTAAAATAGTCTTTTACCCATAAGAGGGTGTTATGAGAGGATTTATTCTAGTCTCGAGAGTTATATTCATGAGAGTATTTGCCTTACGTGTTAGGCGGTGGCGAGTTCGAGATTCAAGTGTGGGGATATCTGCTTTCTGCTTGCCAGGTGAGTCTTCTCACTATACTTTACCTTGAGTAGGTAACCAGAGTTATGTGATCAGAGTATTTGTATGCTATATGTACGTGATGTGTTGTACTGCATTATTTCTATGTGATTTATGTTGCATGTTTATAGAGTTGGAACCGGAAGGTTCCCAGAGTTAGAACCTGAGGGTTCACAGAGTTTGGGTGCACGGACCCATAGAGTTATAGCCTCGAGTGGCTAATATGTGTTATGTGTGGTATTTTGGGGAACTCACTAAGCTTCGTGCTTACAGTGTTTTGTGTGATGTTTTTTCAGGTTTCTTTCAGTATCACGGGACGGCACCGGCTTGATTGTACACACCAGAGAAAGAGTCATATTTTGGAGGATCCTGGTTTTCTATGCAAGTGAAAATGGAGTCATGTTTTGTAAATCGACTATGAATGAGATTTTAAACAAGTGTTTCTAAGAATAAAATGATTATTTTAAATGAAAATTTTGTCTTGAAATTTACGGTGTTACAAGTTGGTATCAGAGCCTTGGTTTGAGGGATTCGGATGCGCCT